TATCTAAAATATTACAAGTACCTTATTTATTAACATGTAGCAGAGATTGATAATGGTCCTTCACGCAAAAATAATACAATGTTTGCTTTAATTGTTTTAATAATGTTGCCTCTTTGTAAAATATTTAGCCTAAAAAATATTTGTTCAGTTGGACAGTAGAGGTCTGCGTTTTGTATAAATATTTACTTATTACATGTTTCAATTGATTAATATAATTGATTGGTGTTTAACGCCAAGTCGGCAATATTTCAGCCATATTTTGTTTTGTTTTCACCCATTTTAATTTGTTTCAATTTCTATGCGTCATTTTTTACCACACCATTAACACTATTCACCAATAAACTGAAACAGAGGAAAAGGATGTTGGATGTTGCATTTTTTAATTGCATTTTTTAATTGAAACTTACTATAGAAAAATAACCTGGGCTTATACTGTCGTATGGGGGCATTGGTGTTTCACAAACACATTCTGTTTATTATAGTTGTTTTTTAAGACTTTTCCTTCGACAATTGGGTCAGTAGGTAAGTTAAAAAATGTAATTCAAACTATAGAGGTACTGTGAGCAATGAGCTCACTAAAATTAATGATTGATACCTCCACCTCCCACATAGTTTACAAATCGTGAAACTGTATTTATCAGATAATCTATGTATTGCAATCGCAAATGATTGTTTTGGGTGTTAAGTGAAGTATAGTTTACGGTTGTGAAACATAGATTATCGCGTTAACTATGGTTTACAAATGTAAAATATAGATTAACGTTGTTAACTATAGTTTACAGTCCGTAAACTATAGTTTACAACCGATAAACCTAGTTTATCGACTGTGAAACTATGTTTTGCTCATTTTTGTGAATTTGGCATGCCATATTATGCCATTATTTTCACTGTATCATTGACCGATTTTTCTGTTATTTCACGATCATGACAAGAAGCACAAGGGGTGTGTGACTGATTGGCAGTGAATGCATGCTCACTGTTCATGGCATTTGATCTCATCTCTAGTGTTTTAAATGTGTTTTGAATGTCCATGATTGTTCTGCTCCAAATTTGTACTGTTTAAAGGACTTTTATCATAATAATAATATATGAATTTATAAAGCGCTAAATATTAATAAACAAGAAAACATTGATGTAACCATCAATTGTCGCCCGGGAAATATATAAAGTAAACAATGAAAATGAGTCTTGATCATCAAACCGCTTCTTCAAAAATAGTGAAAAGGCATGCATCTAATTGATGGAGACGATAGTAGCGAATATTTTGAAAACTTGCAGTCAGCTAAAAATCAATCAAAAACGATACCATTTTAAACTTGATGAATTCCTCAAGTAAATGTTGGCTGCATAAAATATAAATTGAAGTTAGACACACGCATCATCTATATTTAAAAATGTATTCATTTTCAATTTTAGAATATAAAACACGAACTGTGCAGAGTACGCTTTTATCCGAGAAGTAAAATTCGATGATCTAAAAAAAGGGACCTGTCGTTTTTTCGAAAGTTAATGATAAGCAACTTTAAATATCAATTATAAAAAGCAAATATATTTATAAAGATTCGCTTTTTGGAAGTAAATATATCATGTATCTCGTAATTTTTGAACGGAAAGGACATTCTGATTAACAATCTTTTCAATGTTTAGAAAACCTTTAATTCTAAATAACTACTCCCACCCAAATCTCCATATACCAACACTTAAACTTATATGCATAGAGCAGCCCGGTCCTCCGGGCTGCAATTAACTCTAAAGCGCTGTACAATAAAACGCAAGTAAACATGATTTAAAAGCTATGAATAAATATATGAAATATTAACACATACTCACATATGTGTTCGAAATTATAACATTAAAATACTAAAACTACATACAAAATACAATTACGCCATTAATAAAACTCAATAAAGGAACATCTTTTGTGATTTCCTGCTAAAAGTTGAGCACCATATAATTAAAAAGATATTCTGTAAAAATGCGTCTTTAATTGTCTTTTGAAAATGTCCAGGGACTGGGCCTGTTTTATGTCATTAGGAAGGTCGTTCCACAAAAATGCTGCTGCCCAACCAAGTCGACGTTCGCCATATGTCTTTGTCCTGATTTTAGGAACAACTAATCGTGATGTTGACTCAGATCGCAGTGATCTGGTGGACTTATATTCCATTATAAGATCTTTGATATAAGATGTAGCCAACCCGTGTAAGGATTGGTAGACATTTGTCAAGATTTTATATTGTGGACGGGTAGCCAATGAAGATCAGCTAGGATAGGTGTAATGTGACTTTTGAGCCTGAATGCTGTTCATTGTCTCCATATATTTAATGTATCAAATGTTACTTATTTCTACAAGTGTTTATTTGAATAAATATGTCATCCAAACAATTTCTCACATTTTTAACATCATATATTTTACTTTATCCTTTTTGTTTAACAATTAAATTGTGTACTAAATGACAACTAAAACCATTACTTTGTTTTAGCGTAGACATATTTTATTACCTGCACAATTTTCTTGATTCAGTGTACATATGTTCATTTGCATCAAAGCATTTGTATGAAAGACATTGGACCACTGGAATTAAAAAAACTACTTTATGAAGGAAACAAACATTTTTGAATAAGGTCCCTGAATCATCTAAGTATCAAAATCTATATACAACTTTGAATATATAGTACTATGTAGATAACAAGTCAACCTTTCATAATAGAACAGCACCAAGGAAATCCAATACATCTTAATACTGTCAGTTTTTAACATGCAACACTTGACAGTAGTGAATGATAAGTCTTAATAAGTAATCTCAACTAAAACACTGATTATGCATCAAAGTCAGGAAAGTTACACTGACCAGAAGGGGAAGACTGACTTCAATGCTGGTTTTCTCAATTTTCCAAAATGTTCTATGTTCGGACTACATTTAGACATGGAGAATGCTGACATACATAACTTAGAACATGCAGATATAAAAACACAATTAATGTAATGTATATATATATATACCAACCTAAAAATGTAACAGATCTCAATTAACCTCAATACATTTGGGTACATATATATTTCTTTAATCATGTTCAATTTCTGATAATAGAAGAGTTTTAAAGTTGATTATCTTTTTAGTTTTTGTATCATATAAAAGCTAGGTAAAAGAAAGAATGAAAAACATGATTACAAGATATATATGGCACCTACATCTGACTGGGGAAAAGTGGGAGGTCTACTGACAAAACATCAGTTCTTTATTAAAACACATGATCCTGTTAAGTTACATTGGATATGAAGATCAGACATTTATCCAGGAGTCACTGATGTGATATGCATCCAACACCCTTTACATATACAAATATATCAAACACAAAACATTTCCTACTCATTTGATTACATTCTTGATTATACACAGCTATCTACATAAAACTTTTGATAATTGTGTTCCATGAAAAAGAACTGATATATAAATTTGTCATATGTAATGAACTTCAAAATGATATACATTTTCATATTGCACCATGCAATGGGCAATGTGTAGGGAGTTTGCATTTAGAATACAACAGTTGCCACTAGGTTTGTACACAAAATATATAACTGTGTGAATACTGCATTCTTGCAATTTCTTAACTTTCTTTCAGAGTAACACCATATCTGTAAACAAGTACTGCATACAAAAATCAATAATATCTTTATTCTTTAATATTTCTTGTTTGTTAACATAAAACAAGTTTGGTCAAAATAAAGCCCTGCTTTGTCTACATACTGCACAAAGTGTAGAGCAGAAATCTAGCAGATTGTGTCTTAGTTTTCTTGTTGGCCTTTTTTAAAAATTCAATTATGTTGTGAAATAACCCTTTGAATATGAGCAAAATATATGAGAGATACATGAAAATCAACTACTTGTGTGCAAAAATCCTCAGTTTTGAATGCTAATCTTCATTAACCCCTCATTCACTTTATGATGATGAAATAAAGTGATTCTTTATACACAGTGAGATAATCATGAACAAGTTTCCATCAGCCAAAAAATTTTAATAAGTCATACTTGTTGTCAAACAATTAAAACCAGATGCTGCATTTGAGTTTTATATCATAGGACAAAAATGAATATCATTCCATAATTCATAATACTTCTATTTAAAATACCTACCAGGTGAATACTGGTGTTGTCAATAAATGTTGTCAATAAATGAATTAAATTGAATGAACGATGACACATTGTCAAAGGCACACACGTATGCATACTTGTGATGCGTGGAAGGGAATAGAGATTCAGTACATGTATTGCTGAATTATTTTCAGGTAGACTGATTTTAGTAATGGCATAAATGTAAATTTTTTTAGTAAATTTGGTCTTATTTGTTTTAAAGTGATGTTTACAACCAATTTGATAAAAATATATTTTATAACAATAAACCTATGAAAACAATTAAAACAAAACAATAAAATGTAACAAAATTAAGCAAACTGCATTTTTAAAACCGTGGATGTTTCATTGCAAATCAGAATATGATGACACTGTTCCTTTTTTGAAATAACCAAATGCCAAACAAATAAAAACATTTTGGGAACATCAGTATTTCATTTCTTTACTACTTAATTATTCAAAAAAAATCTTAATATATTATATATAAAAAAACCTAATATTTCAAGATACATATGAAAAAGGTACTGCCAAATCTGAATGAAGGCAATATAAAAAGTTTGAATTTTAAAAATACAACTAAAATTTCCTAATAAAATTAACTGAGTTAGTTTTTTCTTTGTCTTTGCTTTGTATCCACCCACACACGAACATCAATGCTTCTCTCCACTATTTTTATTAATTACAGTTCCTCGTGTTTTTTGCTGTCTTGTTTTGGGTTTCTACACATCTTATGGAACTCACACTTGTCCACCTGACCTTTATAGTAATCCCTGACCTGGTCGTATGGGCAGACTTTCTTTCCACAGGCTGGAATGTTCACTGGTTTCTCATTCACGTAAAATTTGACCACATACTCCGAATCATCATTCATCACATCCTGCTCGTCTACAGAGTCACACTGAAACAGCGCCACCGCGAAATTACCAGAAAACGGCAGCACTTTACTGGCTCGGAACTGTCTGTTGTTTTGATGGATTTTGAAATTGTCTGCCTTTAGTTGTGGATCATCCTTGAAGAGGCCAAGTGCTGCATAAAGGGGAGCTAAAGTCTCTGCATGTCCAAAGCCGAAAACAGCAGCCTCAAAACTGATCAAAAAAAAATTTAAAAGCAACATTAAATGATAATTTCTCATCTAGGTGGGGAAAAATTAGATGAATTAATACAAATTGAACAGGTATTCTTCATATTACTTAGTATGCTTTTATATTTTTAGTGTTGATAGGCCCAGACTTCTTATTGACAACATTTCAAAACATGGTCTCGGATTTCATTCCGACAACATTTAATAAACATGACAACACTTAATTATGTCTTACTCTTCATCAGCATTGTTGGCTTGTATAACTTACTCTTCATCAGCATTGTTGGCTTGTATAACCTTGTCCAGTGCTGTGAAAATGCTGCTAACAAGTGGACAACTCATTGCTGATGAAATATCATGTCCATACATTTTCTTCCAGTATTGCTGCCAGAAGTAAAAATCTAGATTTCTAAATCTTAAGAATCATCAATCAAGACTCAAGCTACGGTTAATTACCATGAAACTGTTTTGCAAAACTTACTTTAGAACATTTATTCTTCAGAAGAAAAAAAATTACTTCTCAGGCAATCATGCTATGATTATTCTTTATATTAATATTAATGCATGTTCTTTTGAGCTTTACTGACCTTGAGATCGTTCATATACTGAATGACCTCTAGATTTTCCTCATTGAGAAATTGACACCACTGTGACCCAGATTCTGTCAAGGCCTCCTCAAAAGCACACAGCTGATGTATTGTGTTTAAGTCATCTATATAGAAATATTAGTCAATTAACTTAATGCTCATTCAAAATTTGATGTGGCAAAAAAAAATCTAACAGAAAGAGTAGCAATTAGTGAATATACATGCACTGCATTTCTAGCAAAAATATCTCTGAATATTACTATCCTACTAATTTATTTCTATTTACATGTGTTTATTGCCTCTTGTTTGACACAGAACTGTCATCAGCACATGTTAAACATTCAGACTTGTCGAAATTTTTAAATCACTATCAGACATTTGGTCTGTTGGACCAGTCAATATTTTATCAGACCACTGAGACCAGATACGTGTACCTTATTTTGACGCTTAGAAAATCATATGAATAACAGCACCAAAATGCCCTTCATTATTTTCAACAGCCTTTCAAGTTTCAATCCTTGGGACAGAGATTCTTTAATAATAGACATAAATGACATGTTTTATGACTTTGCTTTAGGAAATTGAATTGGATATCATCAACACATATGCAGCCATTTTTTCTGTATTTGTGAACTTCAGCTGCACACCTCGATCCCAACCTTTTTGAAATTTGCATTTTTGAAAAAGGCCGGTAAAAATTTGTCTGGACTGATAACTTTTGAGAAAACGTCAAACAGTCATCTGGACAGACGTTTTCTCAAAAGTTATCAGTCCAGACAAATTTTTACCGGCCTTGCCAACATGACCAACGATTTCGACAAGTCTTAACATTTTAAGTCTAGAATATGCACTTTTATGTATTTCCTTTTTCAGTGATCCCACCAAGATTCAGAACCCTTAGGCTTATTGCCCGGTAAAAGATTTTACCTGGAGTTACACCTGCTTCTTCAGGTAAACCTAACACAACACTGAGTTTTTTAGCAATGTCAGCCACCTCTGGTCCATATTTGAATTTAGAGTATTCACTTGTAGCTGTTTTGTTCTTGTCTACTGTTTCACTGAAATGAACACAATTGTCATGAAATCGCATTGCAATGTCATTAATTTCCGGTTTTATTGTGTTTTCTTCCCCTAGAACAGTCTGAGAAAGTCCCGAGTAGAATGCCAGACTGCTAGCATGGCTTCTCTGTTTACTGGAGGACACAACACGGACACTGTCCATGTCTTCATCAAACAACAGATTAAATCTACGTGCGAATCTCTCCCCCAATAGTTCTTGTTCTTGCTGACCAAGTTCTGCAATAATCTTATCACTCTCCTCTGGAAAAGGATTTGTCCAAGTTCTCAAGAATGGAAAACGTTCATCAACACCATTTTCTAATAATTTTTTATGCAGTGTTGACATTCTCTTGATCCATTTAAGACTGGGATACCTGGCACCGTGACGTAACACGGCATTTAAATGGATGACTTGGCATGCTTTATCGCCATAGTCAAACCATGTCTCAGAATCATCGGCAACAGTTTCTTTTGCATTGTATAACCAGAAATACGGGGTCTTTGTTGAATAACTCGCTGTTTGAAATGATGATAAAGGATAAATTACATGTACACACTCCAGGAAAATTATCAAAATAATGAGAAGCAGCTGCGTCCTTGTGAACGCTGACATCTTGGATCGCCGGTGTCAGACAGTGCATATGTAAACCTAGTCGAGAAAATATTTACTTATTTTCTTTACAAAAAAGTAAGTTTTAAACACTTAGAGATAATATTTATGTGCCAGTTAATTAAATAAGTAAAAGAATTCCTCATTTTGGTATTTATTATTTTATTATTATTATTTTTAAGACAGTCGATGAATAATGTGTAGAACAAGTTAATCAACTCTAAACTTTCATGATTTCCGGTTGTAAATAGAAGTGGTTTTTGTAAAGTTTAGACGTTTTTCAAATCATTATTTAGCACGATGAGTGGGGATAAAGAAAAAGAGAAAAGCCTACATGTAAGTTCAAATGTTGTACATAATTTTATTCATCGATGGTCCAATTGCGGTGCGTCGATTTACCCAAAAGGACCCAAAAGAACCCAAAAGGAACCCAAAAGGACTCAAAAGGAACCCAAAAGGACCCAAAAGGAAATAAAGAACGACCCAAAAGGACTTGAAATAAAGAGAATAAATGGATATATAATAAATACTTTCATATTTTATTAAAACTAAAAACTTTTTTTGTGTTTACCCCCCACCCCCCACAGTCCCCGATACCACATGCCTAGAACATGTCATTAAATAAAACTTTATTTCTTTATTTATTAAATATCATATATAAGATATGATAAAACAAAGGAGAAAGAGAATAATACATTGTACTTTGTTAATTTCAGCTAAAAGAAATGGGGATTTAGTGTTTGATGTGTAATAAAAGTCGTATGTTAGAAAAGCAACAATATAAATGTATGTTTTCAAAGGTAAATTTATAATATAATATTCATAATTTAATTCAAATTGTTAATTTTCAATGTATATTAATATAGAAGTCCTATTGAATGGGTCCTTTTGGGTCCTTTTGGGTTCCTTTTGGGTCCTTTTGGGTCCTTTTGGGTAAATCGACGCACCCTCCAATTGTATTATCCACATCTACTGATTTAGCAAAAGTTGTGCCCCTTTTCAGGGTCACCTTAAACTAAAAGTCAAAAGAGAAGAAAACAACATTTTTTCTCTTTTATGCTACCAAAACGTGTTTCTCTTTTATGCTACCAAAACGTGGACATGCTCTGATAAATTCACTGGGTTTATTTTTCCTTTCGAACTATGGGTAGCCCTATCCTGGGCAAGGACAGTCATAGCTGCAGCAGGGATTTTCCACTCACTTTTGGGAATGGGGCCCAGGCCCTTGGAATTGGGAATTTTATGACATTTTATCACTTATTGGGAAATTTTATTGTATGATGTTTTTCAAGAAATGAATAAAAATTGATCTTTAACTTAGTTATTCAGAACTATGAATCAGAGAATTGATCATTATAATTAAGTTTTACCCAAGATTCTTCAAAATTTTGTTTGTTTCATTCAAATTTCCAAGCCTAAACATGTTTGTATTTTGTGAAGTATGTTCAGGTTACCTTCTTGAGTTCTTCTCCTTTCAAAAATTGAACATAGGCAGTTCATTTTTGGGGGAAAGGGAGGGGTTTTGTAATTGGGAATGGGGCACATATTTGGCCCTACACGGGGTAGTGGAAAATCCCTGTGCAGATTTGTAGCGTTATGGTTTAATATGTTTGTGTTTGACCATAACGCTACAGATTCCGTAATGCAGAAAAGGTGCAATTTACAGCGCAATAATTTTTGCGCACTTTTAAGGAGAATTTCTCCACTTTCTAGCATTGGTCAATCAACTACCTGTCACTCCCTAATTCTAGACACATTCTGTAGCCAATATGTATATTTTATCCACCTCCCAACCATTTAATTTTGTCTCTACAGGCAATAAACTTGCTTGAAGTGAATTTTCATCACAAACAAATAATTTTGATCAAGCAAGTTTAAAATGTTGACGGTGCGACCGTTATGGCGAGCGCAGATATTTATTTTGTTATAATTTAGATCGGGCTCGTCAAACTGCACGTGACATTTGGTGCGTCTAGACTCTGACATCACATAATGTCGTATGTAAGTTACATTTCCAAAAAAGAAGCCTGAACAGTGCTGAAAGCAAATGAAGAACGTTGTTATTTATCTTCAATATTTATCCATTAAATCAGGGCATGTTTACTTTTAGTTGAACTTTTGCTGCTATTCTTGCGAGAACTTAGCTTTAACAAGTGATGCATTGTGGGTCCAAATTACTGCCTCAAAAAATTCTATCGAATGAATGTGCAGTAGTCCGAATTTTTTCTTTGCACAGGCGTTGTTTAAGAGCTCGCAGTAACGAGTGTCACTTTGCGACGCTCGCTATCACTTGTAGAGACGACTATAAAGGGTTGGGAGATGGATAAAATATACAGATTAGTTAAATAATGTGCCTAGAATTAGGGAGTGAAAGGTAGTTAATTGACCGATGTTCGAAAGTGGAGAAATTCTCCCCAAAATTGCGCTGTAAATTGCACCTTTTTTGCATTACGAGATCTGAGCGTTATGGTCAAAGACAAATATATAAAACTATAACGCTACAGATCTGCAGCTAGGCTAGGGCAATCAAAATACACTTATACACAGATATTCCTAATCAAATATCAGAGTTACAAACCAGAAAATAATTGCTACTGTGGATTCTATAGGGCTTTTTCCCCACAAGATTACGGGCAAGGGACCTTGCTATTGGAAAGAGTGGATTCAACTATTTAAAACAGGCAAAACGTGATCTGAGCCCTCTCCTCTTTCTTGTTTAATATCCCCTCTAGAATTTTTACAGAAGCATTTTTCACTCATGTTAAGATTCCAGCACTTGCTAAGAGTGTTGCAAAATAAGAACTATATTTGGCTCCTATGGCTTTTGAACAGTAACCAGTAGCAGATCTTTTTCATTCAGGCTCCAGCACCTACTGCGATGTGGGACCTCTGTTTACAGACTTGTCGAAATTTATTATCATTGTCAAACATTTGGTCTGACAGAGTCAAATGTTCTGTCAGACTAGTCAAAGTTTTGTCAGACCAGATACTTACACCTTATTTTAAAGCTGTGAAAGTCATATAAATAACAGCATCAAAATTTACAAAAGCTACAATTTTCCTTCCTTACGATAGAAAGACTTTTGAAAAAGACATAAATGACATTTTTTATGACTCTGCTATTACAAATTTAATTGGCTTTCATCAGCATGCCGCGTACACGGCCATCTTTTCTTTGTATGTGACTGTCTCATTTTTACTGGCCTTGCTGACAAGACCGACAAATTTCGACAAGTCTGTGTGAAAACGATCTAACCCAAAGTACCTCTCTCCACATCACACAGTGGATTGAACTGGATTCTATTAAGCAACTTCTTACTCCTTGGATCAGTCAGAGCAAACATTGTAAAATGAAGGGTTGTAAAGTTAATGTACATTTTGAAATTTTGCAGTAGTACTGTATGAAATAATTTGTGCAAAGTTTATAAAGACAAAGAACCTAGCTGTCAGAAAGACAATCATTAATTTGATTATTTTATTGAAAGAAGGGAAAGGATAAACAATGTTTATACTTGTGCCAAGTGAAAGGATGCAGAGAATGAGATCTCTTAGTTAGTTGAGCAATTTATTGTAAAACATTGCGAAGTTACAGTTAGAAAAATAGTTGAGTTTCTTAACAATATTAGATAAGTTATTAAAGCCCTAAAAAATCTCAACCCTCAGGTGGTTACCATGCATGTACTGCAAAAATCTACTTGAATTACTCTTGTTCTAAACAAGATGTGTTTGTGAAACAAAGATGCCCCTGTATGGCAACATATCAAAAGTTAAATTATCTCAGATGCGAATCAAAATTGTTTTCCACAATAAGGTTCTCTTACAAGAAATACATTTGTGAAATATAAAACCATAGCACCACCAATTCAAAAGTTAAGGCCGAGGTTAACGTTTTTTTAAAAGTAGGTCAAACACCAGGTTCATGATCACAGGGTCAAGGTTGTTGGTTTCTAAAGAAATTACAGATTTTGTGAACAGTATGCTATGGAGCATGTCATGTGACCGCCGGGACCACATAATTTTGCACATGGGCAGAACAATGACTAATGTGCATTAAAATTTGAGGAGACTACTTTTAAAAATGATAAGCACTAAAATAAATTTTTTTTCTTTTATAGAAGTAATTGAGTTAATTCATGAAATTTTTTTTATCAGTCTTGGTAAGTTTTCATCAGATGCTGTTCATGAACCTATCGAAGATCTAACTTTTTAGTGGCAAAGTATTTTCCAAGCTTTTTTTTAGCTCACCTCAACGAAGTTGGGGGAGCTTATGTAATACCCTCGGCATCGTTGTCGGTGTCGGCGTCCCAGGTTAAGGTTAAATTTTTTGGACCAGTTTTCTTTTTAAGTACTTCTGTGCCCTATATTGATAAGTCTTAGACATGTATGGAAGATGCTTCTAGTTTGTTTCACTGTACTAGTCAAAGTTTCAGATGCTGCAATTTCATCAAAGGAATGACCAGGTTAATGTTTTTGGAGCAGGTTAACATTTTTGGTGCAGTTTTTGGTGTAGGTCTCATTTCCAAGGAACTATAAGCCCTATGTTGACCAAACTTGCATGGATCATACATCTAAGAATGCACATTACCAGGCTTGCCTCGGATGCTGAAGCTGACCTACATTTTCCGCATGAGTGAACAGGTTAATGTTTTTTGGGCAGGTCTCATTTCCAAGTAACTATAAGCCCTATGTTGACCAAACTTGCATGGATGATACATCTAAGGATGCACACTACCAGGCTTGCTTTGGATGCTGAATCTGACCTACATTTTCTGGTTGAGTGAACAGGTTAAAGTTTTTTGTGCAGAGTTCATTTCCAAGATACTATGAGCTCTTTAATGACCAAACTTGCATGGATGATACATCTAAGAATGCATTCTACTTGGCTGGCTTGGGTTGCTGAATCTGACCTACTTTTTCTGGATGAGTGAAGAGGTTAAATTTTTATGCAGGTTTCATTTCTAAGTAACTATGAGCCCTATGTTGGGCAAACTCACATGGATGATACATCTTAGGATGCACACTAATGGACTTGCTCCG